AGCAGGATTCTGTTTTAATAGACACATGGGTGCAGTTCCTCAGATAGATACCATCAATATGATAAAAGGAAGTGAACCTGTATGGCTGAGTAGAAATTACGACATTTTAGCGATGCTACTCCCAGGTATGCTGTAAACCTTGCAGAGTGATTTCCAATCTCTGTGTGAACATGTAGCAAAGTACACAGATGAACAGCAGTTATTGTCTATATTGATCTTTAAAGCCATATTGTTTTCCATGGGGATAAGAAGGGTTGCTCCAATGCCCTTGAGCGGAAGATTGTTCCTCGTTTTCCCATGGTTATATGCAGAATTACTGCTGCCCTGCCAGGCCTGAAGCAGACGCGCTTCAAGACCACCTAGTATATCCATTGTGGATAATGCATGTTGTGACTCCTCAGATTAAAAGACTTCTAAAACCCTGTACTGTGTGGGAGGAGACTTCAGGAATGAGTGGGAATGAGCGCCCAGTTCTCAGCAGTAAAGCATTACCCACACCAGATCTACGAAAGCTCCTGTTCGGTTCTGCGCGTGTACATGGATGCGCTTGTGTATTAGTGCGGCACATACTATGGAAGGGGAGCACTTTTTGTTAGAACGATTCTACATACAAAAAACATTACAAAAGCCTAACCAGGAATGTTTTTTATATTCACATTTGATTAATTTTTTTAATCAAAATGAGCATGTAATTATGTATTTGATTCTTTTCATTAATTTATATAAAATCTTCATTCAAAAGTCTATCTTTAAGATTTTTATTATCATTAATTACGTGTATTACAATAGCAGCCAGAAGCCTCCAAATCAGTGCCCATCGCATAGGGCCCCATCGTACAAACAGATGTTAAAAAACAGCCCCACCTCCAAACTGACGACAAATGAAATCACGAGGACAAGGAAGTTCCTTTGGGGTCCACGTCTAAGCAGCCAGTGAGAGACCCAGGGAACGTGCAGCATGCTGATGAGTGTGATATGTTTTCTTCACTTTTGGGTAGACTCTGGAGGAAGACAAAGAATCGGATCTGTTGGCACATTGCATTTCCCATTAAGGGAGCGGCCACAGCGCTGAGATCATTATGACCCATTCCTTCACACTTGCTGATGGATCCTAGTTTCAATCCTTGCTCAGTAGGATTCTGTGATTCAGTGAGTGAAAAACGTGTTCTTGCTGAGGACACGCAGTAAACTTCCCATTGTCTTCCACGAAATCAGGATTTTGAGCCTGCTTTCTGGTGGCAGATACAAACCATGGGAAGAAAGAAGCTGCAGAGGAAGAAGGAGGAGACAGACCTACAGAGAGGTAGTTTACCCAGAGCCAAACACAAGAATTCTGTCCCTCCTGCCCTGTAAGTGAGGCTAGTTGAATGCTTTTCAGGAAAATATGACTCGAAAAATGAAGTGGGAAAATATCTGGACCACCTTGCATGAACGTGATGGTGGCTCTGTTCCCTTGTCCCTATTGCTCCAATGCCTAGGGGATACAGATTTAGGCCAGAAGAGGCTAGAAAAAGGTTGTTAAAGGATCCACCAGTAAAGACAAAAGAATACCACAGATAAGAGAGCGCCTCAGTTGCACGCCTTCAAAGCAGTAGAGGTAGCTTGGGCCATCACTGATGGGACAAGCTACCTGCCTGGCCGAGTCTGGGCTAGGATGGGCTAGTTTTCTGAAGGCCATGCAGAGGTGAAAGGGAGACTGGTTGATCATGCGCCATTTTTGCCAACCACCCAAGAGAGAGTCTTGCATGTCTGTGCTGAACTTTATATGCCAGATACATAAATAATGCAGAATGGTTCTCCTGACAGGTGAAGGTGGCTAAGCCCATCCTTTTGTTTTATAGATGGGAAGCTCACCATGACACAGTGGTCACTTTGTCAGCTTTATAGGTGCTCTTCACCCACAGAGCAGTACTATTACAAACAGAGCAGCTATGCAGTGAACCCCTCAACTTTAAAAACCTCTCCAGAGAGGAGCCCTCCTTACCAGAGATCTTTTCCATCAGGGCAGATGAGATCCCTTTGCTGTCTGACAGGAAACACAATATTGACCTTCCTGAAGGCTCAGAATGAAGACAGCCTCCTGCAGCACTCACACATGCAGGAGAATGTCAGAGAATTACCCCTTGTCAGGAAACCATTAAAAATGTTATCTTTTCTCGAGTCTGTTCCTTTCACACCTCTCTGCACAGTGGCTGCTGGAGGAGGCTGCAGGATACAGGACCTGAACCAAAGCCAGTGGAGTAGCTGAGACTCCCTTCTAACTACAACTATTATTCTCTAAATCCATCCCTTTGGTCCCATTGCTTATCAGCTCTCAATGTGACAGTGGCTATACTCTGATTTCAGCTCAGACAGGAAATAGCTTCATGCTACCTAAGTAAAGCTCTGCTTTACTAATGAAAATATCAGAGAGAATGACAAAATTGTTTCAGCAGATGAAGGAACATGTGTTTGACCCTGACTAAATTCTCCATCTTAGGGTAATCCCTCTCTCTGCTGTCACTCAGAAAATGTCCACGGCTGGTTAGTGTAGACCCTTCCTCCACCTGCTAGCAGCTCGGTGCCTTCAGTGACATTATTCATGCAGCAGCGTGCCAGGGACACCTCACTCTCATCTTCAGGGGTTTGAATTCCCCTGATGAGCTGCAATAAGGCAGCAGTGAATCAGGGTCCAAAACTATAAATGCTCTTTGCTCAGGATTAATCTGATATGCTTGTAAGGCGTATCAGCTCTGTTTTGCCTGTTGTCGTGCACCTGGGGCAGCGTTACACCTATTCGTACCCACAAATTACTAGGGGACAGACCAGGATCTTGGCTCTGGCACTGATTTGAGACTGGAGCCTCTGCTCCCTTGGGGAAAGATGGGAAGGGCTGACACCACCTGCCCAATCCCCATGGGGAGGTGAAGGTAAGTGGCCGCCACTTCCTTCCACCACCAGAAGCATCGAGGAGGCCCAAGACCCAGCAAAACAGGTGAACTTTAGCTGCAAAAAAACCCCAAAAACCCTGAGGGGAGCTCAGGGGCCCCTTTCAGTGCGGTCCTCCACCATGTTGTCCCCTCTCCAGGAGCACCCCGCACACCTGGCCAGCAACGCTGCTCTCCTCACAAAGTCCCGCCGCCACTTCCTTCCACCACCAGAAGCATCGAGGAGGCCCAAGACCCAGCAAAACAGGTGAACTTTAGCTGCAAAAAAACCCCAAAAACCCTGAGGGGAGCTCAGGGGCCCCTTTCAGTGCGGTCCTCCACCATGTTGTCCCCTCTCCAGGAGCACCCCGCACACCTGGCCAGCAACGCTGCTCTCCTCACAAAGTCCCCGGCCTGAAGGATCTCCTCAACTCTCCCTTGCCGCTTGCAGGGGAGAGGTGCCAGGGAGCAGAGGGCAGGCGGGGAGCCCGCCACCCCATGAGGGAGAGGAGAGCGCTCTGCCCCTGTTTCTGCAATGGGGGCGTCACGCCCGGCTTCACACGTGTGCCTGTCCCCACCGGTAACCTCCTCAGCGAGAGCACCGCCACCACCGGCACGTGCGCCACAAGGGTCCTTTCCAGCTGTAAAATTTCCCAGGAGACACCAGGGGCAGCAACAGTTTCCGCACCTGTCGCGACACTCGGGATTTCGGCAGCCTCGCAGCAGCCCCACGCCCTCTTGCGGGCTGCCCGTCGGTGCCCCAGCCCGCAGCAAGGACACCGTCTCGCCTCAGTTCAACACCTTCTCCGAGAAGTGTCCCAGCCTCCCCTCCTCCTGCACGGGCTGCGAGGCCTGCCTGCAGGAGGATGGGCCCCGCTCCTGGGCCAGGTGTCCGGTGGTTCGCCGCAGCCCCCGGCTCCCCATCACCGGGCAGATGCCCTGCAGCTCGGCACACTTCTCCTTGTAGTGCTGGGCGTTGCCGGCAAAAGTCTCGCAGCGGCTGAGGTTTTCCTCCTGCACGGGGCTGCCCACGTTTTCCTCGCTCAGCCCCGAGGCCATTGCCCCCTCCTGGGAGTTTTGGCTAAGGTAGACAACAATGATGTCGCCCTTGAAATTCATTACTTGTCCACTCGAGATAAAGGTGGAGTTACTGTTTCCAGTCACATTTCCTGGGGAAGGAGGGGGTAGAAAAGAAGACACACATGATTAATATTTTCCCCTCATGAGACGGATGCTAAGCGCAACAAACTTAATCTGCTGTGGTGGCTTTACTCTCGTTCCATTATTTTTCCCCGTGACACAGGGATGCTCTTATAATCAATGCCTTCCACTAGATCTTTTCATTATTTCCATTTTTGCCTCGTCAGGACGAAGCCTGTCATCCATGGGCAGCCTGTCTGGAAGGCCTGGAAACATTTTCTCCCTCGATCACCTTCCAGGAAGCAAGAGCGAGTGCGACCATCTCATGCTCCCCGTGCTGCTTGAGGCACAAGCTGTGTCCAAACTGCCTCTGTCCGCGGTTTGTGAGGAAATGGTCATTATTTCTAATTATGGCTTTTTTTTGTTTTAGGGTCCCAGGCATCACACTGAGGTTTTTTTTCCCCTTTGGTAAAGAATCAATCCTACTGTGCGGGCTAGGTAGCAGGCTTATTGAATACGTATTGTAAGACTTAACATCAGACCATACAGTCACACAGTGTCCAAACGACACGGAGCTAATACGATTATCTTACATTGTCCTGATCCTCCATGTAGCTACACTCCGGTACTCACTTAGTGCCCTCATGGATTTACCTGGATATATGCTGACTCCAGTGAAGAGACAGAGTCTATACGATAGCAACCTAATGGAGTTACAGTTTCAGTCACTCTGCTTGCAGTTAGAGATTTTTCAGTATAAATTCAATCTTTCTGCCACTCAAGGACTGGGTTGCTAACTCAAGTGACAGCAGGACCAGGCTCTGGGAATTAATAAACTTCCCTCAGAGCATAAAAAAATATAACTGAGAGCAAACTTTCAACAACGAACTTACTAAAGTTTGAAAATTAAACAAACAAAAGTAACCAAGTAAACAACCCAAACTTCCTAGGCTATGAACAATCTTCCTAAGAAATGTTTTTCCCACTGTGCTTCACTTAATCATTACTTGCAGACTGATCTGAAACCTTTTAGACATTTTGTGCCTTTCCTCATTATGGTCCTCAACACTTGAGATGTTCCCATTTTCGTTGCAGCTAAGCATGAAGCTAAGCCCAGAGAAACGCTGTTTTTTCTAGCAGCCACAGGTGATGTTTGCACCATCAGCAATGGACACTGCCTCCAGGTGTGCTGAGTTAGGACCTGTGCCTGCTTGAGTCTGGGTAGCACTCGAGTGTCTCTCTAATAACCCCCCTCAAGCAATCCTATTTATTTTAGCTAAAGCACTGCGTTGCTAGCTCTTTGCTTTCTTTGCAAGTGTTGTGGATTAACATGAGGTGTCACTAAGAGTTTTCTCTGCAGGAGGTTTTTCCCTGCTGCTTGCTTCCCCTGTGTTTGATTTTGTTCGGCTGCTTGCCATCAACAAAACTGTTAGGCATAATGGGAGTACAAAAATAACCATTTGCCTTTATACAGATTGCCTGTCACTTGTAAAAGGTACTGCAGATAAATTTACCAGTGCTCAGTACGAGATCAAGTATTTAGAAATGTGTGTGACAGTGGTGGGGGGGGAGGGGAGCAGATTAACACATTTATAATGTTTAGTTGAATATGGCTGACAAATCTTCACTGCTTTCTGAAGACACTGTGCTGGTACAAAAGGATATTTGAAGCCCAAAAGCACAGAAAATGGACACAGGAGCTTCCTGGACTACACTAAGAGATGAGCTTCCAACCTAGAAAGCGTAAGGGACGCCTTCAGAGGGTAAGTGAAGGCGTCGTTCTCTGCAGCGTTTCAGCCTTTTGATCTCTTCAGACTACCTGATGATATTAATTACAACAACAGATTAATTTTTGTGGTAATTATTCACTAAGAACTGGAACAACGCAGGTGATTATCATTTTCTCTGAGCCATCTAATGGCATTTAGGTGCTAAGAACTGTTTGTTGCTGCCAAAGTGGGCTGGTTTGAGATCTGGAAGTGAAAGGCTCTACAAAACCATTCCTAATCATGAGTCACCTAAGTCTTCCTGCACTCATGCTTTATGCTGTAGCCCTACACATGACTTGAGCTGGTTACGAACCGATGCTTTGTGTTCTTGCTGCCTCCAGGCTTGGAGGGTTTGAAAGGGCACTTGAAGGCTTACCTCCATCTCTGGCGGTAATCCCTGTAAGTGGCACTTGTCCAGAGGTTTACTTTGGTCCTCTAGGGCTGTTTCACAGGAGGGACAGAGTTTTCAATTTCTGTTGTCATTTTGAGCATTAGGGAAATAAACCCAAAACTTCTTGGAATTACCCATGGCCTTTTTCCCATTTTTCATCCACTCTTGGATCGCTGTCTTAGCATGACTGTGTGCAAAGCCTGGGGGCTTCAGTTGCTTCAAGAAACTTTACAGGAAGTTATTTTGCCTACATGTTTATTCCATCTGGGCGTTTCACATGGCCCAGAAAATGACCGATGCCGGTGCAGCTCCACGTGCAGCCCCGGCATGGCCAGGGTGCTTCAGTGTGGAAGCTATGGCTAAGCCCTGTCTCACTCCTCCTGCAACCAAGTGTCACCAACAGGGCACGGCCATTCTGCGGACAGAAAAAAACCTCTGCCAGCAAGCCAGGTTACGTACAGATTAATTAACCCATGCTCTCATACTGCCCACAGCTCGGTCAGTACCTGCTGGCAGTCCTGCCTAAAAAATGGCAAATTAGGAGCACCGTATCTGTGCTCAGGTTTCACCAGATGGCACTATAGCATGTACGTACCCGAAGGCACAGACACAATAAAAATCCCATGTAAAGAATTGTGCTGCAGATCTAAGATGGCACTTTCTAGCACGTCGCTTAAACCCAAGCTCTCCTGTTTCTTAATATTTTCTCTTCCTCTTCATGTCAGATTTAGAAAGAAAAGCTGTACTTCTGCAGTGCCAAATATGACTTGACTTTCAGTGGTACCTCAGAGTCACCCTCCAACAACAACAACAAAAGATCTGTGTTCTCAACTGCTGCTGAATTTTGTACAGACCAGGCAGTGAAACTGTGTCAGGATTTCAGGAAACTGAAACAGCAGAAAGGATATCTGCTCTTAGACAGACGAATGCTACACACTTTCAGATTCCCACATGGTTGAGAAGGGAAGGGTCTTCAAAGTGTTGCTTTTGGGCTTTGGCAGACCGACGAGAATGTCTCCGTAAGAAACTTTAAGGCACAACATGGTTTTAAAGAAGGGCAACTGCTTACGACTGCTGTGTGTTCCACAGTAATACTTATGTCCCAGTCAAAACTAAGGTTTCATTACGTTCATCAGTGCACCAACATAAATAGTGCATCTGACTTTAAGAGATTATAATCTAAAATGACTAATAACACATGACAGGCAGATGGCAGACTTTTATACTGAAAAAAAAGTCTGAGGGAGGAAGGTTTCATCCAGTAAATGCTCAGAACTTCCCTCCTGCTAGTTTTGCTTCAGTGATTTTTCTTCCCTACTTTCACTTGACGATTTTGATATATTTACTCAATTAGTAAATTGGTAGTCAATTAGTAAATTGGTGACAGTGTTTCAGAGTTGTTTAGGGGACAGAGCACTTGTGTATGGAGAAACAATGTCTGTATGAAATTATTTTTAGGGTAACACTTATATCCTAGCAAACTAAAACAAAGAGAAAAAGCTAAAAGCAGAAAATAGAACATAATCTCTTAGACCCAATAGTGGCCACCAGAGGTTACAGCTCTGGCTGGAGTTTCAATGACCGCCATATAAATGTAACTGGACTTAATGGCAAAAATGCACATGCAGACTGTTGAATGGAAAATTGTCTGTCTGACCATTACGCATCCTTTCTTGACTCAGCCTCTAGGTCCCTATATACTTCTCCTCCTAAGTTTTCTCCAATACACACCTGCTATCATCAAAATACTTCAGTAACAGAATTGCCTGGCCTTTGCAGTGACAGCCAGAAGAAGGGTTCTGCATTGCTGGTTAGATCAGGGCAGGACAATGGTCCCTCACAGTGCTCGTACTATTTGCAGAATTCACCACAAACCAAATGGCCTATTTCACTTTTGTTTTTCCGATTAGCTTCAGGGAAATTAAGTGAAAAGACATCATTTTATTCCTCTTTCTCCTACATCAGACCCTTTGAACAGTACTGAGCTAGCACAGAGAATAATCCTATATGACTATATACAGGCCAAACCTAATGGGCTTACCAGATGCTGGAGGGAGGTCTGAAGTGCTGCTGTTTGTCCCTGAAGTGCTTCTGTTTGTGTTCTGGTACTTCATGTTGGTACTATCTGAAGATGCATCTTCCATACTGTGATCACTTGCTAGAGTGCTCTGACCAGCAGAGAGAAAATTCAAGCCACAGGTGCACTGTGCATGGGATCCAGTTTCTGGGGAGGTGGAGGCACTGTCAGTCACAGCACAACAGGACTTGCTCCACTTTCTGGGAGATTCCCTGTACGAAATGCCACATCTCACACAGGTCTTCTCTGAGTCATAGTTTGTTGTAAAACGATCTGTGTCTTTGTTGCCCGTTTCCTTCAGGCAACTGTGGGCATGTTGGCAAGATTTCTGAAGAAGTTTGTCCGTGGCAGTGTGTGCCCCATCTGTGTCAGAGGAAGGGCGAGAACCTTGAGGGACTGATACGTCCTCTGTGCTCCCAATCCCTGAGAAGTACTGATTTAAGCTGTCATTCTCCCCTGCCTCCATCGGTTCTGAAAATGACGACACTGTTTTACTGGCAGTCCGACTCAGTAAAGATAAATAATCAGCGGTATTGAGATCCTTATCCGTGTATTCATCCTCTGTGGGAACTGGTGGGAAATGGTCATCAGTTTCAGTTACCACAGAAAACTCTTGGAGGCTCCCTCCCGCCTCGCACGGCGCCATGCTGGGGCTCCCATTGCTGCAAGGAGTGTGGCCGCTGGTGCAGCACGAGTTTCCAGAGGCAGAAGAGCAAGCGGGGCCCAGGAGACACACGCCTTCAGAGGTCTGGAGGACAGCTGCATTTGTGATGTTCACGGTAACAAATGCATCTCTGGGGTGCTCCTGAAAGAAATTAAAAAGAAAAAAATGTTTAATGAAGAGATCAGCAGAAGGTTATTTTCTAGATAAAGAAGGAATAGGCAGATCTCAGTTCCTCCTCGGTGTGGAGCTGCTGAGGTTGAGCAGCACCACTATATTTGAGTCTTGTAGTGTAATTCTGTTGTCCTGTGAAACTGCGACCAGTGATGCTGGGCTCAGCGGGTGTTTAGGAAAAAATCCAGTGGCCTGAGGGGCAGTAACATTTAATTTTGGGAGAAAACTATTCCTAGTTCTTAAGAAGGCACTTGAGAGTTAATAAATCCAGAAGAGTTGCTGAATTCTGCTGTTCCTTTTGGATCACCAGTAAGACCTACCTAATTGCTTGTGAGATTTGGAAACTCCCTGAATCATCTATGTGTCTGAAGGGCTGTTGATCTGTGAAGGCCTTATGGGAGCAGAATCTTTATTATCAGTAATGATTGAAGAAAGAAACAGGGTTGATTCACAGGGCCCAAGACACGCTAGGAAAAAAAAAGAAGTGACATGGGCAAGGTTGCTTTAACCTGGAAAATGTTAGGACAACAAACACAAAGGCCCATGAGGTCATGTTGCCAGTAGCTGTCAAAGCAAAGCTATATTTTTGGTTGCAGCTCCACAAAAAAGGGTTGGGAAATACTTCAAGGGTTCCCTTCAGTTCATGCAAGTTGTGCTGTAATGATGGGTATTTGGGAACTGCTACCTCTCATTTCTAGTGTCTGTTCAGATCTTCCAGGATGGAGCAGAGAGTGTAAATGCTGCCAGCCACTAACTGCTGTTGATTCACTCCTCTGTCCCGCAGGATCTGAGCAGCTGCCAATGCAGGAGGTTGCCTGAACACTTACGAGACAAAAGAGGAACGGCCTGACCAGAAAGGTGGGTTTGGGTGATTTGGGGATTTTTGGTAGCAATGGAATTTGAGACTTCTGACAGCTAAGACAGAGCTCGTAGATGGGATGGTGGGGAGAGCATGCATGCGAGACACCTCAGTCCACGTCCATGGTGCGAAGCAGGCAGTGCACATGAACTTGAACCTGTGCCCCCATCTGAGCGTTTCAAGCATGGAACCTGGGGCTATTCTGGAGCAAAACCCCTTGGAAGGCCTTACTTTTTTCCACAGCCAAATGACAAGAGAGATTTCTACAAGCACTAGAATTAAGGAGTGTCTCAGCCAATTTCTTCATCTGATGGCTCTGTGCTTAAAGCCTTGCATGTCTGGCATTCTTGGTGTTGCCTCAAATCCAGGTTTCTCCCATGAGGACTCTGATATGTAAAAAGGTGCAAACTCAAGTGAAGCTTTTCCTGCTCTTAAGGTTTAGAAAGGCAGAGTCTCAAGTGTTCAGCAACCGGTGCGCTCATGTTTAACTTTCTCCTCATAAATATTTTATCATCACAGAGACTTCTACCACTGTTAAAACTGGCTGACACAAGAGAGCTGGTTCAGAATGGTGATTTCATACACCTCACATTTACAGAAAACCAGACTGAAAAAGCCAAAGCTGTGAGCATTTTCTGAGGAACTTAAAACTTGCTTTCTAGCCAAACATTAACATGGAGTCTTCAGGCTTGCCATGAGGAAAACATAAAACAGAGAGAAAATTTTAGCATGTTTGACTTTACCTTTGTTCCTTTTATTTGGCTGCACACTTCGTTAGCCCAATTCTGTAGATCTGCTGTAGGGAACACAAAAAGAGTAGCTGTAACATATAGCAGGCACTGAAGTTAGCCACAGACCTAAACACCCACAGTCATTCACAATCCACAATATCATATTAAATGAAAACCAGCAAGACTGTTTTTACTGACTGTTCAAGTGTCCCAGTGTTGGTCTAGCTGAGGATTCATTGTAACTGGAACAGGGATATATTTCTATGGAACAAATGTTTCCAAGCTCCTAAAATAGACCACAGTTAAACTGTGTTCCACATCAAATGGGGTTTCTTTCCTGGTCATATGTCACACCAAACGATGACTGGCCCAATACCGACCCGCTTGCAGCCGTACAGTCTATTTCAAGGGAAGTCACATGGATGGCCCAAAGACCATTCTCAGACAGGAGTGAGGAGCCTGGAGAGAAGAGGGTAAGCCACTGAAACCACGGGATGGGAGGCTCAAATACAGCGTATTCCACTTCATCAGGGTGTACTTAATGGGGAAATTTACTTAATTAGAATACCTCCCAAGGAAATGTTTTAAGTCCCACAATGCTTTTATGATAAAGACTGCCACTTTAATAGAATTGGCAATTCTTCTTGTTTTCTATTTATACCTTCAAGAGATTTTGACTCAGGTCTAGTGTACATTTGAAGCTTGTGCTGGTTTTGTATGTCTGAAGATAGATCAGCTATGTAGCCGCTGCCATTTCCCAGCAATGACGTTCCTCTGATGTTAAGTCTGCACAATTACCATCAGTCACCAAGTAGGCAGACCTTCTTCCTGAGCCTGCAAGTCTCGGGGGCTCTGGTTAGCAGTATTTACCATGCAAAGGCAATGAAGGACTGTCACTGCAGAGCAGCAGGGCAATAGAAATGCCAAATAAAGAGCATCCCCCCCCCAACCTGCTTTGCATCGTAAGTATTTGGTTTGCAAGGAGAGTCACCATTTCCTCCAGCCCATCCCAGGAATTCCAGATTTAGCACAACCCATGTTTGGTATGGCAGAGGCAGCCTATTTCTAAAACACAGGCTGAAACATACTTTACAAGAGACAGTTACTGTCTTCCCTTCCACTGCTCCCAAAACATTTCATAAATTGCTAGGGCTTGGGAAAGGAGACGATGGAAAAACTACACTAGGAAAAGCTTTCCATGTGTAAAGGGACAAAATAAAAAATGAACAGAACAGCAGCAGTATGCCCTTAACTAAGGAGATCCAGTGCTTAACAGAGCTGAGTAACTATTAGTGGCATTTCCATCATATTTGTAATACAATCAATGTCCCACTGTTATCCAGTATACCTTTGCTAGAATTTTTCTATTTTCATTATTTATTCATTCCTTCTAGTATTTCTTCTGTACCTCATCAGAACTTTGACCTTCAGCTAAAAACATTGCCTCCATCATGTTTTCAAAAAAACATTTTGTCTTGAAACCCGTATTTTAACCCATCCAGATGCAGGTTTCAGGGGAAGAGGGGAGAAGGAGACAGGAGGTGGTGAAAGCCCCCTATGTTTTTCCCTACTTCCCCTCGGCTATGTGATCTGCTGCGCCATATGGTGCAGAGCGGCTGTGCTGCTACAAAAGCCCCCAGCACCAACCCTCCTTCATCCGCACAGAGGTTGCGTCTGCCCCGAAGGCGGTCACCCCACGGTCAGGGCTGCAGGAGAATACCAAGCGATATGCATTATGCATAAGTGTAATACGCTCCCTGCCTAAAGGAAAGGAATTTGAAGCCTGGATTTGTGCTAATTACAGCCTATCCATATGGACAGATGTAGGGATCGTACAGAATTTCCAAAATAACTCCTGAGTTTCTTTACCTGGTGGTTACCCATGAAATCAGAGCGCACAGACAGCCATGCAGTTGTCATATTCATGAATATCATTAGCTATCACATACCTGTCAGCTTTTTTCCCTTATTCTTGTAGTATACGATGAAGATGACAATGCCAATTAGTGCCACAAAAAACAAGATGACAATCAACACATATAAGATCTTGTTTGTTCCTGCAGGATGTAAAAGAGATAGTGCCATCAGCATGCAGCTTGTACTCAGCAGTATAACAACCCTTGCTCATTTTACCTGCTTTTCTTCTTTCCCATTTGATTTTCAGTTTCTATAATACGGACAACAGCTCTAGCAGTTCTGTGACAAGCAGCCCGACTGAAGGTACCTGGTACCGAGCCATCTCCAGAAAAAACAGAGTCTTGGTGTCTCAGAAAGATGTGATCCAGTTACACTCCTCTGGAAGTCCCATTGCATGAGCTGTGCTGGCCTTCCCTCAGGAGATAGAGGACATACATCTCACAGAGACTATAGAATTCAGCTGGCAAAATTTGTCCTTTATCTGAGGTTATGAAGGATCACTGCATGCCAGGCAAGCAGCCTCCTTGGTACCATATCCACACTGGAGAAGGGAGTGGGCAAGAAGGGAGAGCTACATTCAGCTGAGTCTGTATCCATTGCTATAAAAGAAAGCATGGAGAGAAGCTGGTAGCCTTTGTACAGATAATGTGTGTATGGAAATTAGCAGGCTGAAAAAATAAAAGAGCTGTAAATGTGTTGGAGGTCATGAGTAAAGCTCTGCTTAGTAGTGGACATATGCCCTAGAGCTGCCAGGCTTAAAGTAATCATTAAAGTTGGGATTTTCCAAGAGCACTGTCTTGGTCTACAGCTGTTCCCCCTAGAGTCATCCACAATGGGAATGGAGTTTTAAGCCAGCCACAACTCCTAGTAAACACATCCTTCCTCCTCCCTACTTTCTAACAGATAATCTGCACAAGGACACCTACCATCTTCCGATGGCTCAGGCATCTTCCGTTCTGCGCAAACTGCATCCGACTTGTCAGTCCCAGGCACTGTTTCTGCCATTCCTAGAGCTGTACAGCTGAAAAAGACAGACAAAAGATGCTAGATTCTCAAAGAGGGAGCTTGTTGTAGCTCCTACACTTATGCAGAGCTGTAGTTTCTGTTGTAGCATACAACGTTTATCCTGCATTTCTCCACCCTTAAGAAGCTCGGATACCTTCTTTATTTTCAGCTGTGTTAGCTCAGCAGTTCTGTTGTTACTGCTCTCTCTTGCTCCCCCCCCACAACGAGAATTCAAGCTTCAGTGTGAGAATGCCTTTATCGCTGCACAGCCAACAGAGATGCTCTGTGCACTCTGCAGACAGCCTGAAACACACCACTGACAAATGCTTTCCCTCAAGCTTCTCCCTGCCTTGTGGCTGTTGTGGTCCTTTTACAAGATACAGGGACTTACTTGGTCCAGGATTTACACTCGTCGGTGGATGAAGCGACCTTTGAGAAGTAGCCTCTGGGACATGGTGTGCACATCGTGTCCTTGTCTTGTTGCACTGTGGGTAATAAAGGAAGAAAAACTTCGTAGCTGAGTTTCTGGGGGTTCCTTTCAGATGACGGGAAGGTGACTATGCTCCCCATCCTCCCACTCCACCCCACAATCCCCTTGAAAGCTTCCCTGAAGAAACAAAGATCTTAGATTATATTAGAGCAGCAATGACAGTCCCATGTAAGCAGAAAAATGTATGCTAGTCTCACCTGAGCACTTCTCTACGTGATCAAAATGAGAAATGACCAGGAGCCATTTGCAGTTATTGTAAAATAACACACAGCTATTATATCCTTCCTCTTCCATTAACTTCCTCGTGTCAATGCTATGCCACAGACAGTCACACTAACTGGTACTGTCACTTCTGTGAAGCCACAGTAAACAAAATGCTGTATCAGGATTTGCTAGACTGGAGAAAAAACTGCACCACTGTACTCCAGGCCCATGCAGCGTTTCATTCTCCATTACTCTATTATGTGCTGCTTTTCTGGGGTTCCTCATGCTTGGCACGGCTGTTCCCAGTGTTCATTCCAACTCTGAACTTGACTGTCTCTATTTTCCACCCACAAAACACCTGCATTTTGGTTTTGATCAGATTTTAGACTAAATTAAATGTCTGTAATAAATCTTTGCATTACAAGTCATCTAAAACAGAATACTTGTGCCACCTGAAAGGCGTTAATCACTTTCAACTTATAAAATGGCAAAGCAAAGTCATTGGACAAAAACTGATTTCAAATCCCACCTCAGGCACAATCCCCAACGGACTGCTTCTCTGAATACTGGAGCAATGCATGACCTAGTGACTCACAGCCAGACACCTCAGCAAACATTAGAAGTGCACTGAACACCTTGCTACTATTGCCATGTCTACATAGTATCTTGCAAAATTCACTTGATCCAAGATACTATTTAAACTACAGAGGTAAAAGCCTCCTAAATGCAAGGATTATATGCAGTAGTAAGGATAATTCAGACATGCATCTTCTGTTGACAGCCATCTGAGAGTCTAAAGTATCCTCTCTAATGTCACAACCCATACGATGCTGTCCTCATCCTGTAGGGTTCAGCTGGACATTTCACTTTGTACATTCTCCGTCTGTATCTTACCAGGATGCTCAACTCCGAACCCTGGAGCACATATGGTATTTCGCTGACAGCAGTCGCAATCTTCATTCCAGTGGTAGCCCATCGTACAAGCGCACTGCCGCTGGAACGTGCTGTTCCCTGGGTTCACTTCTCTCAAAGCTTTCCCTAAAAGAGAAAGCAGATGGGAGTAAAAGTCTCTTTGATAACAAGCCTCAAATTTATAAGCCTCCTGTTCTACCTATTTGCTTTGCATGAATGCCAGGTGCAAAGCCATTCATGTTAGAGGAAATGTTATCTTTCAAGAAGCACGGGAGACCCTTGATCAGCACGTGGCTCCTCACTAATTGCACTCCTGTGCAATACTTTTCCTTGTAGCTTCTGTAGAAAATAAACAGAGCTTTTGCAAGCGTCAGACAAACGTGTTAGGGGACGTGAATGCACAGTATGCTGGGCAAAAGGACAACCTTTAAGATCCAACTCACAGGAGTGAATGGCCCCAGTGATGATAATCTTTATCAGCAGCATGGAGACTATGGTCACGGTGCTCAGCACAGCACAGAATCTGCTGTCTGGGGACTTCCCTCTCTTTCTGCCAGGCTCCTCTGCAAGCCCAGCCTCCAGTGTTGTGTACCTGAACAAAGCAACTTCCCTAGATCCGCTTTCCCATCTTTGTGCTTCACTAATGTGGATTAAAAGGTTCTTCAGTATGAACAGCTCACCTTGATCACATATTTTATGTAGTAAGCATTTATCTTCTTCATTCCAGACATCCATATACTCGTTTGGGCCACATGGCTGGCACACGCTATCAGAAGTACCAGTGCATCTAGCAGACATATACTTTCCTGTGAATGAGAGAAGGACAAGTAGGTCGTTTGCAAGTTGCACACCAGCTGTCTAAGGAGCTTGGGGAAAACAAACAGGTTGGGCTAACACTGCTGTACTGCTGTGAACAATAATTTCTTCCTGCCACCTTTCTAGTTCCTCAGTCTGGCCCCCGTTTCATGTGGCACTGAAACATCCATGAAGCTTGTGGCCTGGGAGCAGTCCTATCTATGCACACAAGAATCGAGCTGCTTTCTGTCTCCCGCAGTGGTTAAGTGCTATCCCAACAAAATAGCTGCTATGGCTTTTGCTGAGGTCAGCAGGACCACTCCTGCACTAGGAAGCACTTGTAAGCCTGAAATCGTGCACCTGCGAGGGTATGTGACAACAGATTAGCAGGGTCGCAAGAGCAAGCTGCCTTACCGACCCAGTGAGCTTTTCAGGTGTGAAGCCAGTACAGCCCAGTGCTCACATACCTGGCTCACACTTTGTGCAGCACCGTCCAGAGTGTTCATAGTGTTGTTCGCTTTCACACGGCGGAGTGATTTGTAGTGACAACTGGAGCAGAGAAGGAGAGAGAGGACATGAGAACCAACATACCTGGAGAGCTTCAGACCTCCCTAGTCACAGCGCTGGCAGAGAAGAGGAAAACATTTCTTCTGTACAGCATTTTGGATAGCTAAGCAGTAAAAATTACCCAACATTTATGACTTCAAAGGTGCTTTGTAGACACACTAAGAATATATACTTGATGTACACACAGGGACTTGTAATACAGCCAGGTGATAAATAAATAACTCAATCTTACAATTTGGCATGAACTTTTGACCTGCTACATAACCTTTTCTTACAGTAATCTATTATTTCAAATCTATGACTTTGAAACAATTGTAAAGAAAAAAAGTTGGCATAGAGATACTTCTGTAGTCTCCTCCACAGATGTGACCTCACACCAAGACCTGGGCAACTGACAGTTTTAATGTATAAGCATTAAGCAAACGAGTAAGGTGAATGATTTATACTCCTGAAAAAGAAGAAGTCCACAGCTTCCCATCGGGATACACAATACTCCTGGCTAGTCCCAGAAAATACTGGACTTCAATTTTGCAGCTTTTTATGGCTCCCAGTGTGTCCTGCAGAGATGGTCTCATGGAACAGAGGCAGCCATTCGAGAGGTGATACAATTAAGCCAACAGCTTTCAGTTTCTCAAAAAAAATAAACCAAAACAGAACCAACACAAACCACCTCCCCAAACCTCCTGAAACCATTACATGAGAGGGTATCTGCAAAGCAGGCCACAGTGCTGCCTCTAGCTCTTATGAGCCTTCGCATCCCCTCCCTGTTCTCGGCTGCCTGGACACACAGTGGTCCTACCCACAGCCTGGCACACACAGCTCCCTCGGCCGGTCTTCGGGGCATGGCTTGTGCTGGGGGTCCTGGCCAGCCAAGCACCGTGCCCAGCCCCTCACTGACCCCACTTTGGCTGCCCGGGACTTTCCTGGCAGCGGTCCTCCAGGCAAACTCAATCTCGTACTACCAGTTGTTGATCTTGCAAGAGATGAGATACTTCAAAATCTGGCCTGTAGCAAGGAATCCTTTGTTATCGGATACAGTTGTTAAAATCTCATTTACTTGGAGAAAGCTGCAATAAAGCTTCTGCTGCTGGTTAAAGGGAGTTTTTGCCATCTAATAGCATATGACAGCCCTGTGCCTATTGATACTGGTTTCTATTCCTCTACTTAGCATTCTCCTCTTGTTTCCCCCAAGTCCTTACTTCTCCTCTTCCATCCTTTTCTATTTTCAGCAATGGCAATCTCTTTAAACAGAAAATATTTTCCTCTAAGCACTTTGGTCCTCTTCTAATGCTGGGAAGGGTCTTGTAACATAAAGACGACCAAAAATGTTGAAATTTTTCTTTAAAACACTACCTTCTTGTTTGGAGTTTGAGCCATGGGTTGGTGCATAACTCCTGTTTATCATCAAAGCTGTAGTAGTTGTGTCCAGAACAGTATAAGTACTCCCAGTCTGAGGTCTTGAGTTTCCATATTTTTGCAGGTTATAAACAACTTACAGCCTTTTTTTTTTTTTTTTACTCATTACAACAATCCCAGGTCAAATTAAGAGTCCAGTCTTGCAAGAAATCTTCTGCTGTCTCATTGTTTCCTTGTCTCTTCCCTTGCATTCATTAGCAGTACCTTTCTCATGATTACACACTTTTTGGAACAAACATTGTATTTTGTGTTTGTGCATCACCTACCAGGAGGGGCACAGGATAATGATCAGTGCTGGCGAGGCGAGAGGCGATCTAGGAAACAGAAAGCTGGGCCGGCCTGGCAGCTGGACAGTGACACCGCTCAGTGTCCTACAGGAAACGCTGAAAAAACTCCTGTAATCGAAGGAGCTCGTTTTCCGTACTGCACTTCAGGTGGCGTCTGCTAAAACACCAAGCTGGCCTGCACGGGGCTGAGGCGATGTTGCAGGACCGAGCAGCAGAGAGAAGGTCTTGAGCAACTGATTCCCTATTCCCAGCCATCCGAAATGGCAACAAAAGCGATGAGACCAAGAACGGGTCCAGTCACTCGCTTTTTGTAACAGAATGTCCTCTTCTTCCTCGTTTGCCCCAGTTTGATAGTTCCTCTTTAAAAGAAAAGACTAAAAAATTACTGAAGTGTCAAACAAGGGCAAAGTCATCTGTTTTAAGGAAGGATATGCAAATCTGCTAAAGAGCATTCTGCTGAAGGGTTTGGAATAATTTCTGAGAATCACAGCTCAGCCTGAAGAGAAACAGCAGTCCCCTGGTGCTGAAGCTAAGGGAGCAGGCTAATGGCTTGGCTGCCTTTTGGAGATTGTTTCATACCTCCATGCTTTACCATACAATGAGGGCTATTGTTGTGTTGTAACTCACAGCTGCAGCTGCATAAATCTACGCTCTATGTCAATAAGTAGTCTCTTCTGCGACCATGTCCTTCCCCTTTTCACACAAGCCAATACATTCACAGAGCTGCAATACTCCCTCCTTTGATTTATGCTGAGTGGCATAACGACAAGGCTCTCGGTGTCCATGTGCTAACGCCCACGTGAGCCCAGCCCTCCTCCCGAAGGCGAGGGATTTTGGCCTGGTATGGACTGGCTGTACCTGCCGAGCACCAAATCTAGGGAGACAGAGGGCAGGAAGGGAAACAAAAGCAACCTGGGGTTTTCTTAGGATGGGAGATGATCCAGTGAACTTGGGCCCTTTTGCTAACACAGCTCTGTTGAAGTCAGGTTATCCATTGCTTAACCCTCTGCCGGGGGACCATGCGTGTCTCATCATCAAACGTCCATTGCGGGCTGACAAGCGCTCGTGCTGCTGGCAGCACGATGACCTGATGCTTTGCCATCACCACTGCATTCCCGCCACAGTGTCCTTCTGAGACGGGGAAGTGCAATTCAATTTGCAGATGAGGAACTCGCACCCGGAGGCCGGCTGGCTTTACGGAGGTGACAGGAAACCAAAGCAAGTCTCCCAAGTTCGCTCCGTAACCCCTGGAACATCCTTCCTCTCATGGGGTGCTGGCCTGTGGGTCAGAGTGATTTGGACATCACTGAGCTCTCATCTAGAGGGAGAAGGGGCTTCGATGAATGCAAAGGTGCCAACCTCCTCTGAAGTGCCTAAATAAGACAAAACCCAGCCTGGTCATTCCTTTAACGGTCTCGCTATTGATGAAGCTGTCCATTAAATGCCACCACCACGTGCAAATGCATGCTTCAAAGAGCTCTAGGCATTCTGCGTAAATTTAATTTGTCACTTAAAAAGTGCGCAAAGCACACAAGTTTGCACCAGTTCCTAAAAAACAGTCAGCTTTCCTGCTTGATTAACATTACCTCAGCACAAATATATCTGACAGGGGAAGAATCCGGGGGAAAAAAATGACAAACCTCCTCCGGGCTTGGTGGATCCGGTTCGGTAAAGCACACCAACACCTGCGTACCTTTAAGCACATGAGCAGCACCATTGACTTCTTTGGAAAAACAAGCATGCTCATGTCAAGGTCTGCAGGAGGACTGTGTTTCGGTGTTGAGCTGCAGGCAGCCTTTTCAGCTGCCTTTTTTTTTTCTTCTCCCCTCCATTTGTTGAAAAGGACGCTAAGCAAGAGTGTGCTTGTAGGGTCGGAGAGCTTTGATGACTCAGAGCTACAAAGCACCACTGTGTTACTCAGACACTGAAAAAAAACACACACAGGTGCTTCTGAAGGGGGAACCAGCAGCATTCAGATTCCTGTCCTCAGGCTTAAGGAAATATTTATTCTTGGTGCTGTTGAGCAATCGGATGGCAGCAGAAGCTGTGTGTCATGGATGCTAAAATTACTTTCTCGCTCAAATGAATATTCAGACAGACATTTCAGAGAAGATAGAGTTGCATGGGCCTCTTTCCTTTAAAAGAAAAAATCTGGAAGAACAAGCTCGGGGGTTTCCACAGTCTTTTTCCCATGCCACTTCTGAACAAGAAGCTGAGGCCTCAATGAGGATTGCTCATTAGCGATAATCTTAGTTTTGCAAAAATTGAGACGTAAAGGAACACGTCAAGGCATAAGTATCTTAAGATGACACCTTCTTGCTCAGTGTAGTAGTTTCTGGAGAGTATTCAAGTTATCTGTCATCATTTCACTGAGCAAAACACATTTTTTTCCTCCATTTAGTATTGCAGAACCAAAGCACCTATGGGACAGCTAACTATGGTGTGTCCTGCGTTGCACACCACTTGTTCTTCATACTTTAGAACCTGAGTTTATCCAAACCACTTGCTTTTGAGACCCTTAGTCTTGCCTGCTGTAGAACTATAATATTTCTGTGGATTTGGGGCTTTATTTGCCTTTGGCACAAGACTGAGCTTTGACCAGCATTTCCTGATCTGAAGTAGCCCCTGCAAGCATGGCACCCTGGTATCCAGCTAGGATGGCCTCTGCAGTCGTCTGCTGCTTTTTCTCCTTCGAACAGGAGCCGCTCCCTCTCCTCTCACACCAATTTTGTGCCCACAGCCCTCCAGCTTCCTAACTGATTTGGGCCAGCAGTACCGCTAAGCAAAAAGTGGATTCCTTCAGCTAATTGCCAGTTTCAGAGGCTTGCCTCAAAAATTATTTAAGAATAAAAAAAGAATCTGGCTCTCGGTGGGCGCTGCTCCGTGACTGGTGCTCCCAGGCACTCTATGGAGGCACATAATAGTAATGCACACGATGAACGCCTCTGGAAATTTTTACAACTGTGAGTTTATAAGGGGAAAGAGGAGTCTTATGTTAAAGACTTAATCATAATCACATGGACACTGAATGCAACAGTTCTTCACAGTCTTCACTGTTGATAAAAACTCAATCAAAGCAGCACACAAATCACAGCTTTGCAATTCCAGTTATTCGCTTGCAGGTCTGTAATTCATCACGAAGATCTTAGATTGTGAATGAAATGCTTTTTGGTGATGTCAACTTTCCAGTGACCAGTAAACCACATCACAGAACTACCACCACGTGGTAAAATATAGCTGGGAAATGGCAATAGCTAAAAACTAAATGTTATTTCACTCTTAAAAATAGGTCCTTGAAACCCTGCTAGAGCCTGAATACCTAAAGAGGCCAGAAAGAACATAACGGATAAAAATCGATAATAAAGAGGTCAAGGGAAAACTGTAACTTGCAGCCAGGAAGCGGGAAATGGTGGTAAAAGCCCCATCCTGACTATTCCTCTTGCCCCTCTGTTGCAGTTCGCAGCAAAAAGCAAACACCTGAGCTACTGGTGCTGCTCCACCAACGGGAAGGACCATTCATCAATCTCAAACCCACCAGAGTTATTTCTAGCCGGCAGACTACGTGAAGGAGAAGTGCCACACTGACCACTCTCACAGCGGGACGGCGGGGGTACGGCAGACGGGAACCTCAGGTATATCAGATGGGAGATGACGGAGGTGATAGATGGCAGGGCTGAAACGGTTACCGACAGAACATGTGAATCAGCCAGCTTTCCTCTGTGGACTGAAAACTCGCCATCACGTGCACAGCATTTGTCATTCAGAGACAAAGTCATCTTCGTAAAACAGCCAGAAGGGTACACCTAACATTTTCATCGGCCAGGCAGTCGGTAGTGTCTGCATGTTGCCTGCACTTTGGTGTAAAACCTCGTGCTTTAACCTACATGTCCTCACTGCCACAGCAATTCAATGATTAATAACAGCTACTAGGTAGAATATTTTAAAGATGAATCAGAGAGTAAAACCCCAAAAGCTAATCAAACAAAAATATTTAATAAAAAGGCTTGACAGCAAGACAACGGTCCATAACAAGCAGAAATAAAAAATGCAGAATAATGACATTACCAAAGCTAATACCTAGATATGCTTGTGAAAAGGCCTGAGAAGGCAAATCTCTTCTAGATTAAACAGGTGCCATAGC